TATTAACACGTGATCTGTATCTGGAAAGATTAACTAAACAAAGACATCTGCTCCACGTGCCTTTGCATTTACACCTGCAAATGCAAGTGAAATACAGTAAATATTGCTTTTTTAATTAGTTGACTTAATTATATTTGCTGTAATGCCAGTGTTGGTGAAGCTTTGTTTTGCAGTTGTTGTTTTGGTTTTGTTTCTTGTGCAACTTAAACAGCATGTCAAATTTAACATCTCGTGTGAGTGGCATTGATTTTTGATACTTTAAAATATCTCACACTCTGAATTATGACTAGGAGGCTGATGTGTTTCTCCCACTTGACGGGCTGTGTTTACAGTCGAAATGATTTGAACTATAAGGTACTTTTCATTATCGCTGATATTGTGCTTTAGTGCTGGATATTCCTAAACAAATTTAAAAATAATGTTTTACAACATGTCCCTACCAATATCCAGCAAATACTGAATTGTCCCCAGCAATAATTTTGATAAAACATTAAAATATGACCACTGTTGTCTGTCAGCACTTCCAGTCCAATGTGTTTTAAAGTTTTGAACGTTTATGTCCAGCCCCTTGATATGCAGTGGTTTGATCCTCAGCTGACTGTTTTCAAACCCTAAGCGATTTTATTTCTAAAAAGTGACTAGTGACAAATGTGTTAAGTTATTCTGACCATCAGGGGGAAAGTGAGAAATATACAAAAGTCTCTTATATTGTGTGCTAATTTATTCCCTGCATACTGCTCAGAATAATCTCAGTCTGCAGCTCTGCAGGCAGCAGCACAGCATCGCTCCCTTAGCTCGCACCGTGCACACACAGCCAGGAGTGACAGTGAGTTACTCTGGCTGTTTGTCTCTGTCCCTCTGAAATTTTGTGACAACACAGGAGGAGAACAGTGAGGCAGACAACATAGAAGGAGAACATGGTTGGGTAGTAGATAAGCAGCAGACTTTGTACTGATGAGATAATTTTGTTCATCGTTTTGCAAGGTGAAGCTTATGGTCTCCCAAGACAGCCAAGGCTAGGATTGCATAGAGTTACATAAAATACTCCCTTTACGACACACGCAACTAAACAAACACACCTGGCTGCTATCTGTGAGCTGCATGAATGCACCAGCTAAGTGAGAACAAAACCTGAAAGACACTATCTGTAGCATCATCACTCACTTGAGTCCTTTTATTCAGTCAGTGGTTCTCTTCCACCATATAGTGTTTCACATAACTTACTGGGAGGAACATGGACAAGAATGTGTACTGTCACATTTGGGCACTAGGCCATGGACGTCGAGTGACTTAGATGTCATATGTCACCCTTATTTGTATCTACACAAATAAAAAAACATTCCAACAAATTTCAAGCTCAGTCTGTCTGAAGGAAAACTGACTCATATTTCATCCTGTGACACCTGAAAGGAATACTTAATAAACAGTGTGTATTCAAGCATTCTGCATCTCAGCATTAGCTGTAATATTTTGGTTTATTATGTGAGGCTACAGGTGGTGTCTTCAGACGAACAGGTTCATCTTTCATTTACATAACAGTCTTTGCTGCTGGTCTCCAGCTGCTGCGAATAACCGGGGAATCAGCTCTGCCACATACCTTAACAGCGTATCTTGATGTTCAATCTTATTCATACCTTTTAACATTTCTATTTCTCCTGCTGTAATGTACAAGCCACACAAGATCACATCCACTCAGCGAAGCTGTGAAAGCAGCTGACGTGCAGCTCAGTCTTCCCGCCCAGGTTATTCCTGCATTGATCTCTCTAAAGCAACAGCTGTTATATAAAGCAAGCTATGAATCAACACTGAATGTACACAAAATGGATGACTTGTCATTGTGAAAACATTTAGAGGATGAAAACATGAAGTCAGTGGCAGCAGTGGAAATGTTTGAGTCACTGATATTCTCTGGTCTTCTGTACTCAGAGGAGGGATGAAGTGTTTAATTAAACCTCTTGTGCTGTTGCCTGAGATATGTACAGAATGTACAGGGATATTTACAGTAATGCGTTCAGTGTTTGAGCCACCGCTGCTTTACATAGTGGTAGCTATTTTGTGTCAAAATAAGTTGGTGCTTTCAGTGAGGGAAGGTAACTCAGCATACTGTACAATTTTCAGGTACCATACTCAGGGTGCGAACTACAGGGAGGCCAGGGGAAGCTTTGCTCCTCTTAATAAGACTTGAGCTCCCCGAAAAACAGGATTTGTGAAATTTTGGGTCTCTCTAAAATAATACTGACAATATCATATTTTGCCATGGATTTCTATTTTTCTGTATCTTCATCGTGGGTCATGCGTAAAAATTAGGCTATTATTGAGATATGATTGTAACTAAATGGCATGATGGTAACTAAAACGAAATCCCACTCAGTCTGCGCGCCGAATCGCCAGCACAAGGCGAAATGCTGGAAAAGCTTAGTAGGCTACAGCAAGCAGGACAGACAGTACCTTCCGTGAGAAGGAGTTTCTGCCATTAATGAGCGTGACAGCAAGGGCTGCAATGGCTTGTGTGAAAACAGCCTGGCATAGCTACTTTTTGTGAATCTTAATGGACAACCCTCCCTGTTTAGTAGATTAACCTACCCAACAGTATAAATCCTATATCCTAAGTGCCTGACAGTATTATGTAAATGATCCCAGAGACGTTTTAGTTAAAGAGTAAGGTGCCTTACTGACTCACGTTTTTGTCGTTTTCCTGCAACAACTCTCCTCTTGTGAGATTTCAAAGTGAGATTTCTTACTCTTTAATAAAACGTTCTATCTCTGTCTGCTTTTACTTTAGTAAATAATCTGACTTTGCTCCTATCCTGAACTGAATGAATACATGCAGTGCGGTGGGCTGGGAACAAATATCAGTGTCTTCAGAGAATTTAACACTTCATTATTATAACATCTTATAAAATATGTATAACGTGTGTGAGCAGAATGTGCGCGATATAAACAATAATTAGAATTGTGTTGTACAGGAAATGGAACTGCCAAGAGACAGAAAAAACACATGAGGAGGACATCTACAGAAACTGTGCCACAGCTGTCACCAACAACAAGGATCCCTGTGTACATCAACTCTTGGGGCAATTAATCCCAAGCCAACTCCCATTTCCCATAATGTTAGATAACAAGCTATCAGTGCTTCAAATAAATCTCCTGTTTGTTGACAGAATCTGGCTTTTATCTCCTCTTTCCATTCCACCATCCGTCTGTATTTTCTCTCCCTCTCTGTCCCATCTATCCTCGCGCTGTTTGTCGGGCAGTCAGTTTCTTATCTCATCTCTTGATCTGTGCACACACACACACCCCCAACCATCTACGGCCGCTCACATGACCAATGACCACCAGGCTGTCAGGGTGCTAATGTAAGCCTCTCTGAGAGGAGATAACAGCCGGTTGGAATAATTGAGCGAGAGAGAGAGAGAGAGAGAGAGAGAGAGAGAGAGAGAGAGAGAGAGAGAGAGAGAGAGAGAGAGAGAGAGAGATGAAGCCAGGGGCACACAGTAAGATACCTCTCAGTTACCATGGGAACTTGAATTGAAGCCCCTGCACACACACAAATCTCTGTGAACACCCCCCGCTGTGTACTTTGACCAGATGAGGTGCTTGCAGTAGCAAACTTCAAACACTGAGAGATGATGTAACAAGGCAGTACGGGTAATAAATCAACAGAAATTATTACCCCATAATCATATTAGGGATGATTAGGTATCCAAACATAACACACTTTGGTATTAAGAAATATAGTTTCTTCACTTTGTAAATTGTACACATCATTCTGGTATAACATGCTTTATTGTAACATAGGATTGTATTGGACAGTTCTAATACCAGCCTTCAATATGAAACAAACCATTTGTTGCAGAATGAAAATGTTCTCTGAGTTCACTCATCAGTAATTTGGTCCTTTTGAACACTGCAGCCTCGCATCAATATGTAAAACAGTTTCGAATCATTATTTTTCCAGAGGAAGACTGTTAAATGTGGAACGTGTTCCCTCTTGTGGTAACAAGTGCATGCTTCAACAACATGTACAGAGAGAGAGACACTAATGCAGTTTGTTGTTTTAGTACCATAAAACTTCAGTTGAAAGCTTAGTCCCAGTTAAACACCGGTCCCTTTTACTGGACTGGTGTGGCTACACGTTTTGACAAATAAACGCAAAAGGTATTAAAGGCCTGTCCCATATATAGGCAGTATGAGTTCAGTGATTGAAGCAAATAAAAGCCCGGGCTATTAATTGAAGTTTTACGGTAATAACTGGAAACCAAGACACTCTGATGTAAATCTGATTATGAAAATATTCTTTAACTGGAATGTTTGGGCCATAAGCTGAAGTACAGTTGACAAACGGTGTCATCGCAAGGTCCATTCAGTAATATATCACAGGAACTTCATCAGCACAGTGTGCTTGATCATTTTTAATTGCATGACGACTGAGTAAACTCCATCTGGACGAAGGCCTTGTAATATCACCAAATTCTCAAGAACAGCTACTAAATTGATCTTGAAGTGATGATTTTACACAATGTATAAATGAAAGTCAAGTCAAGAATGTACTTTGAAGCTCAGCTAGAGAGGTATAGCTTCATTTTGTCTTTACAGAACAACTTAAAGCCTCCTAAATTGCATCCATGTTGCATCTACATCAAACAACGAGATTAGCATTTGGAAAAATATCACTATCTCTGCCATCAAGTAATCCCTGGCTTAAATTTTGCCCGAGCTTTGTTTGTTCACTTCACCCTCTGAGATGCCTCAGTTATCAGAATTGTTATTGCTGTAGATGTTTTTTAAGGAATGTTGAAGACATTGAAATAAATAAAAGATGGGAAAGTCCCATATCCATAACTCCAATTCAGTCTTTTATGTCAAGTTCTTAAAGTTGTTTTAGCTCACTTCTTTAGGATGCACACATTACATTTACATGTATGTATTGCAACATACAAATGAGGTATGAGGTCTATCTCCGTCTGTTATTGACAAAGAGAAAACAACTACACACTATTTAAATCAGAAATGTCCTTTATTTCCCTATAAATGCTCCATTTTGACAGCCAACAGCAGTTATTACATTATTAAGTAAGTTAAGATTTTTTTGTAAACATTAAGTTAGCTGCAAAAGTAAAAACAAAACAAAAGACAAAAGAAGTTGTCTCCTCATGTTTACACTGTTGAGCCTAAATCTGGTGCCTTTAACTGGTTTCTCCTAATTGTAAAGACATGCAGGTACTCGGTACATTGCAGTAACACAATGATTGAAACATCTTGCTTTTAACAACCCAAACTATTTACAGTGATTCATTTAAACTTCCTCTGTTGTGCATTCAACAGGAAAGAGACATTAGTAGTATAACATGAAACATGAACATGAAAAATAAAAACATGCCTTTAAGCAGCATTCAGGCACATCAGTGTCATCATGAAATAGATAATCAACCAGCTCCCTTTATAGCACAACACTGTGATTGTGAAGTTAATTAAATATAATACAGCCATTTTGAATACCATTTATGTAAATTGCTTCAATTTTGCAGTGCCAAATACGTGGTAGGCATTAAGTAGAATATATCATTTTGTCATTAGTCAGTAGGAACATTTCTCAAAATGATGCTTTTGAGAGACCATTATTCCAAAACACATTAAAGACGACACAAATAAGTTCTCAATATTTGTGTGTGTGTGTGTGTGATGCATCCATGTGGGCTAGAATAGTCAAAGTGACCTTGCATTCGTTTACCTAGTGGGCTCTTAGCCGCAGCAACATGTTGTTAAAAGCTCAACCTGCCCCATGCGTGGCACCGATTTAGTGACACCATTAGCAAAGCGTCATTTTGACTTGAAATGGCTTTCAAATGTCCTGTCTGAAGAGGGTCCACTGAGGCGTTATAAAAGTATAGTTTTAGCTTTGGAGCTGGGTTTCTTCTCCATCTTCGAGCTATACCTGCTGTGGACGCTGACTATTGTTCAGATCTAAAATGAAAAGCAACAAAATATTCTGTTTTGCACATACCTATGACTTTGTGTGTGCACAACAAAAAATCCACATTTCCTCATTTACCTCTGGTGTGTAACCATGCAGATAGTTTTTGGTCTTATTCTTATATGCCCAGGTTTGAGATATTCATCTCCAAGATTCTGCAACCACACCTATAAAACTGAGGAGAATGGAATTTCATTTTTTGTGCTGAAAGCATTGAACAGGAACATTTCTTTCCAGAAACAGTGTCCAGTGACTCTGGATAATCCAGGCCTCATTGTGGACATTGTTCATTGGAACATGTCTCTACAATTAAACAATTGCTATTTCCACCCCATTGTACCAGGGCTTATCAGAAACCAAAGCTGTCTGCATGACCACATACCACATACCACTACAGGTAAGTGAAAAATGTTTTTTTTAGGTAAACCAACCCTTTTAATGCACCCATTTGCCCTCCATTTTGACAGTCCACTGGCCGTGAAACAGTTACTTACACAGCAGCCGCATGTCGTACTGATCACAACTAGTTCACCAGAGGGCAGCATCCATCCACAAACAACAGACAGTCTGACTGAGAGGTCCTGTGTCCAGCTATTTGATATTTCTCTCACAAAGGCTTCTCTGTCTCTGAGGGGAATTCATGGCAGAACCCATCTTTTGAGGTCTTTTCATTCTGTTCAAGGTGGACAGATTTTGTTTTCATGGCGTTCTTGCAGAAAGAGTACATTCACACAGCAGTCACAAAACAACAAAGGCATTTTATGCAGTGCAATGATTATCAGCGTCTCAACAGTCTGTCATTTCCTTGTTCACTTGCCAATGCTAAAAGGCAGAATAGAAAACCTTTGGACCATGCAAGATGACTCACTTAACTGGAAGTGCTGTTGTCCTGGATTTATAAAAAAATACATGAATCTCAGTACCGGATTTTTCCTAATTAATGTTAATCACCGCTTCACCCTGATGATTTATCACACGCCATGATGAAGGATTTACTTTGGCAAATCCATTTTTGTTAATGTGACCGCAAGTAAGATTGAAATACACAAAATTGTCTTCATAGGTCTCTGTGATCCAACTCCATTCCTCTCCAGGCCTGTAGCTTCTTGTTTTCCGGCTCCCCTCACCAGGAATTCATGGTTCTGAATCAAAGTGCTCGAAATGTATCTACCAGAGGTGGTGCTCTTTAAGGAACAGCTGTATGGCACATCTGAACTTTTCCGCTTCAGGGAACTATGGATAGTCAGCCAACCCTTTTCATCCACACTTTTAGTAGTAGTAGTGTAAGACCCATCTGAGAGATTGTGGGAGCCATGAAACCAGTGCACATCTCCATCTGGGTGGACATGGTTGAAGGTGCAGACGGGACCATCACTTGTCAAAACACCCTTAGAACTCCCACAACACTCTGCAAAGAAGACCATAAGAAGAGTTCAAAATTCAATAATGCAGTTCATGCACAAAACATTTGGGAATTTAATGTTCTCATTTAGCATAGCCACCATACCGACGTTATTTCCATTATCAAATCTACACCAATCGCAATGGAACAGTGGTGGCAAGTAACTAGGTATATTTACTCGAATACTGTACTGCAATTGCAAATGTACTTGTACTTCACTCACAACCTTTAGAAGGACATTTTATTCCTCTGTAACCAGTTACTTTGTAAATTGAGATTTTACACACAAAATGCAAGTGGAGTTTATAATATATGGTGCTTACCCATTGGTGTTTAACTATGAGCTGACCAGTAGGGCCCCTGGGCCAATGAGTGCTTAAAGTGTGAGTTGACCTCTAGGGCCCACATGCCCCTTGTTGTATACATCAAGTGTAACTTCTGGGCCCCTTGGTACATATGCTTAAAATGAGCTGTGCACACTACAATATGCAGGTGACATGATACAATATTCACCAACAAGTCAGCTCATTCAGGACAGTTTGAAGGGTGTCATATTATGGCAAGCGTTCATCATTTGACTTACTGTAACTAGCTATCACTTTATTTTAAGCTATAGCGACCCATGAACTACTAAAAACCGTAGCATCAACTCCGAAGACTCGTGTAGCACAGGTGCTGTGCGACAACAGTTGTAGTTTCACATGCTAGCAACAGCCTTTTTAAGGCATATGAAAGCTCAGATATTCAGAATTTGGATGTTATTAACTGGTGTATTTTATACTGAAGAACAAGCATTGAAAATCTCTTAACTTATGTACTTATGCCACCACTGCAAATGAGGTAACTAAAAAGGGCAGTCCAGTGTTTTGTACACTGATGACAGAAGTTTTACAAATGTTGTTTAAAAAAGAATAGACTGACCTTTTAACTCCACTCTTGTATGTCCATATGGAGCTCCCTGGTTGGAGTGTAGTTTGCAGGTGTAGCGCTTTCCACTCTCCAGGGGCTGCACTTTTTGAAAGATGAGGGACAATTGTCCGTGTTCATACTCACAATGGAAGTCACTTGTATCTGTAGTATGTCTGTGGTGTGTGGTGATGGTTCCTTCACTGTCCACAGAACATAAGGTTGTTTTGTTGTGGGTCCACCCCATATGTATGACTGATAGTCCATTTCTAGATGAGGACACGTCACAGTTTAGGGTTACCTGTTGACCACACTCTGCACTGATCTTGGGACTCACACTTAATTTCGCCAACTCTGTTGACAAAGATACAGATATTGTACTGAGATCCAATGGAAACAAAAGTTTCTTGTTGCTTCATTTGTATCTTACAGTTAGGATTATTATTAAGACCACCATAGTGTTACACCTCACACTTTTAGAACATTACACCTTGGTCTCCCTTTAAACTTTCAAAAGAAAAAGAGGCTTTTTCCTCCTGCTCAGATCATATTATGAAGATTTGTTTCTGCAACTTGTATTTGTGACAGACATATCCTTTTTAGAAATATGTCTACTGTACAAATTAGTTTAAACAATTTTCAACAAGTTTCACATACCTTGTGTCGTGAGAGTGAATGCAGTTAGAAGACAGTGAATGTGCAATGCCGTGAACCCCATTGTCACCTCTGTTGCATTTCACTGTGACATGGAGAAGAATCTGATTAAAACAGATCTCAATATATAAACACTACAATTTTTTGGGCAGACAGATTGAAACCTTAAGATTAGCAGGCTGAATGATCCCCCAGATTTAAAAAAGTGCAAAACTGACCTCAGGACGACTGGATCTTCTCCTCAGCTCAAGTGCTTGTAGATTCTGATTCCTTATTGTGCTTTTTGTATATTTATCGTCCTTCAGACCTGCCCTTAAGTGCAGAACGTTAATGATTGCACACTTCCTTATCGTTCTCCGCGTTCCAGCACACACCCTACACAGTGATAAGCCTCCTGGATATTCTCCTTCATAATTCTGTAGACAGACGGAGAGTGAGAGCCTATTCATGAAGCTGTACAAGCTGCCACAAGAAGAGACTTGTATGACTTCCTTTGATGTGTTGCAACAGTGTACTGCTGTGTCATTTAATTTCACTCCACTTTCATATAGACTTTTGCCATGAAGTCATCACTATCTGATGTTGTCCAGACTCCATGGAATAGCCAAAGGGGAAACCCTTGTATCTATTATTTACCAAAAAGTCCCTCTCACTTAGTCACTTCATGGGAAGCAGCGGCATAGATTTTAGTAATGACCTTCACACAGCACACTCATATCAACACCAAACAAATAGAGTCAAAGTGGTCTCCTAAACCACTATAAAAAATGTTGCTTTTCATTGATTTTATTTTACTTTGATCATATGTATCCAGTTTTATTTCTATTTCAAATATACTTTAAATTTAATTTAAAAAAGTAATTGCCTGCACCGTTGACAAATCTTCAAAAGAAAGAAACATATATCTATACTTTACTTCAAGTGCCCCCCTTTGTTTTACTGTAAAGGTTTCTTCTTGAAAGCTGTTTAGGAGACCACTTTGTTTCGCTGATCCCTTTGGGTGACCTCTATGAGACACCAGAGTTAAATTTTGGAAAATAGGGAGAATGTGTCCCTGATGTGCCCCTGGTGATAGGGAAGCTGTATGTTTCACTGAAAATCGTGCTAAATGCAGCTCTAATGTCCATACATGCCACCTTCTTATGTGTTTATCAAAGGCTAATGATTTATTTCTTCTTTCTGCAAATACCAGGAGGAGACCCAACGACTAACAACTATTGTCAGTTGCTTATGACTCCCTGGTGCAGAACTTCATCATTGTCCAAAAACCAATTAGAGCTATGCCATTGCATTCAGTGACACTTATTTTGAAAACTGTCCATTGCTACATTTTTATCTCTAGAAAGTAGCTCACTTTCAGCTAGATGTCACTGAGGATCCTAGGGATTCTGTGTTTACACTGCTTCATCAGGTTGATGAGCTGAGGGGAATAAACTACATCAAGTATGCCATCTTGTGCCCCACTGTAACCCTTCAGTGTCAATGAACAATAGGGTTCATGTAAATGTGTGATTTTGTGTGAAAATATAAAATGATAGAAAGCAAAATCAATATAGACAAATATATCCGATACTAAACTAATAGATTTTTGTTTAATTAAGTAATGGCACAACATTTTATGGCTAACGTCTTTCATTTTTTTTTATTTCTAAAGTGATGCCAGTCTCATATGCATCTACACAACAACTTTTCCAGTCATAAGCATAAGCATTGATTTTCGGTGGCTCTTATTTGGACACTTACAGAATGAGTGTTAATTAGAAAGCTGCTTGTCCAGAGTGCGGCAGAGGCAAAGTAATTTACTTCAATGAGCACTGGGAGACAAGGGGCGACAAGGAGCAGAGCAGTTCCTGCCAATAAGATCTCATTTACGACAAGAGAAACTTGAGCAGCTTTCAACTGTGAAAATGAGTATAAATGTTGTGTATCAAGGAATCATTCCAGGGCAGGTTTGTTAACCATATGTTCTTCTTCAGTGTAAACCTTTTTTACTCTGGTTTCATAACTCTGTTCCAATCACAGAATAATGGAAGATAAACGGATTGTAGCTGCTTTTCTTAACTTGTACATGGCTACATGGGGTTATTTGCATTGACATCAGTAACAAGAATTAAATGTGAAGGAAGATATCAGGTTTAAAGGACCCCTGCTGACGGTTATTGTTGTTGTACAACACAAGGGAATTTGAATGCACCAAGGTGAAGAAATCCTACAGCCCAATTAGAGGGCTGTGGATGTGAGATAGAGTTACCATGTGTAATTATCTTTTCCTCCCTCCAAATGGAAGCAGCATCTTGCTGTCTGGGTTCAGACAAAAAGCATGAAGTAATGAGGCCTCCACTTATTTCAGCAAGTCACAGCAATTGTGCCGATGCAGAGGAGCTGAACTGTAGGTGGGTGAGTTGCTTTGTGGGTAAAGTAGGTACCAGATATTGACAAGGAAGAAGAATGTGTAGAATAAAAAAAGACAATTATCTGGTTTGGCTGCGTCGATTTTGATACTTTTCTTTAAACTGTCCATCATGAGTGACAATGTTATAGAAGTGCAATGCTAAATCAATGGATTTTTCTTTTAAATTTAGGCAAGTACAACTTGTTTAAGGTTAGGTTGTGATTGTGATCTTAATCAACTCTTAAATGTGTACCTCAAATGTCAAAAATGATTAAAACAAAAAAAACAGGAATAGGGTTTCTAATGTTAGTTAAGAGAATTAAAAGAAACCAACATTTTGGTAGGACAGCGGGTTGTGAAACCGTCAGACACTTTAAATGTCATACACAAGAGGCTTTGCAGTGCTACAATAATGTCACACTCATAATTTACATGGCCACGAGATGTTGCTTCTTATTAAAACATAAGCATCAGTCGTTTTAAAGCATTTTAATGGCTGATGCTGTAGTCTGTCTGGTGAGGAGCTTCACGTACCTTGTTATGGCAGAATCTGTGCAGCTACACGTAGATAAAGTGTTCTGAATCTCTTGACCATTTTCTTCATTTTACTGAAATTCGGAAAAAAATACTGCATTAGTCTCCTGATCTATTACTGCCAGTGTTATAACGATTCTGTATTAGTACATTATAAATGCACATAATATATGCATGTGCCTAATGTAATGAATTCTTCTTCCTGCTGTAGCTTTGGTAGTTAGGACCCAAATACAGTATGGCTACTTGGAACAGCACAACAAAATAGCATTCATGTTAACCCTTGGTCCTCATCTTGACAGTAAATCTAAGCAATGGAATTATAGGTAGACTTGTCTCATCAGTACCATTCCCACAAGCCAAGCAGACAAACTGATACACCTTTAGAAGTGGCTGACTTTTCTGAAGAGGTTATCTACCTGACACTCTCCAGTGAGCCTGTAGGCTTCACTCAGTGTTGCGGCTGTGCAGACCTGAAATCTGCTCTGAACTATCAGTGTCTCTCCATCACTGTGAACCCTTCCCATCAGGGAGAATAGCACCTATGCCTCTGCTCTTAACAGTCTGAACTGTTTAGCACTTTAGCAAAGCTCCAGTTTATTTAGTCACACTTTGTGCATTTGCTGCTGTATTGCATCATATGTTTTTCTTTTATTATCTAATTATATGGTGTTGTCTTTTGCCCTGTCCTGGCTTTTATGAGCACATAGCACATGAGCTATTGTCAGCTATTGCACAAATATTACATCTTGAATCCACAATCTGGCCCTTATCACACTCGTGACCCTTGTGGTTCTCTTAAGTCTATTGCATTATCAGCCACTACAGAATAATGTCAATGCTTTCACTGCTTAGTCATCTATTGGCTGAGTCATTCATCCTGCTTCTCAAATTCTGGCTGCTAGTTTTATTGCTGAAATGTTGATCATCATTTGTACATTGTTTTTACTATAGCTGCCAACATTACCATAATCCCCATTATCTTTTTTTGTATGAACCCTGACCCTTGTCAACCAGTACTCCTGTGCTGGAAAACTACCAGCCTCCTGGTTTGCTGTGTATCAGGCTCTGTTTTGCAGGTAGTCAGTCCAAATAGGCAAACAAAGAAAGAGGGATTGGCCAACAGGCATAACAGAAAGGCTTTGTATACAGGTGGGTGTGGAAGTCAGGTGATGACTGTAATAGGCCTTTTTCACAGAAGACATTCACAGTAGGAAAAACACAGGTGTAAATAATGAGAATGACTGAATTCCCTTTAGCTGTTTCAGTTTCATGGTCCTCGTATTGTTTCACCTGGCTTACTGACATGACTCACTGCAAATTACACAGAACCATTTTTATAGAGCCAGACAGGGCCTCCAGTTTAAACAAATTGGGGGTCCATCACCTCTGTCAAGATTGAAACTCAGTGAAGTACAGAAATTACTGAGATCTGGAAACAGACAGAATTCCAACAGGGCAAGAGACACAAGCCCTCAGATGAGGGGGTAGGTTGTAAACAACCCCACAGTTTAGCCACATTATCTAAATGAACTTAATTTAGAGTGGAAAACTGTATTTAACATACAGTTGAGTAATAATTATAATGTTTGCTGTGTCACCCAAGATTGGCCAATCAAACTTGATTTAGGAAAGCATTACTCCACAGGTCCGTAATTTCTGAATAATTCTAAAAAAATCTAAAAATCTATGAAGTGTCCTGGTACTAATTATAGGGAAATAGTAAAGAGTTAATCAATTCTAATTTATTAAAATTAGAAGACCAACATGTAGACAGTGTTTGAGTAAGTGCACAGCAGGTCAACTGAAATTGAAAAATGTAAAATGTTGTCAGGAAGCAAGCATTCAATTACACATATATGGAAATAAAGCATACAGTAATTAATGCATATTAAATTAATATTTAATAATAACTATTATTCTCATTACATTTCCTAGGAAATTATTATTAAATTACAGAACCAATTAAAAAAGTCACCAGGATTGGATCATTCCTATTCCTTGCCCTACAGTATCTGACTTCTCTGATGGTTCTGCTTTCCCAGATCTCAGAAATTAACTTGGTGAGTGCAATAATGCTATTAAAAATAGACCATTTTCCTGGCAAACATTTTCATATTGCAGTTAAACATACTAAATGACACCAAGGAAACCAGGGGCTTTTGGGCTAGTGGGGATCTGCAGCCCTGGAGCAGGTTCATATTTTTCCCTGTCTATAATCTCTTTTTGGCTACGAGTGCACACATCCACACACATGTGAAATAGACAAATATAAATGTTCTGCTGAAATTCACTGTCTCATATAACAGGAAAAACCATAGTATCACACTCTCAGACCCTTCCTGCCCTGCATGACAGCATGTTGCATGGCATGTTGAGTGTTATCCTGTACTTTATTGCTGTGGGGACCAGATTACCCATAATGAGTTTTATCTGGGGCTTTAACATGATTTGCAGTAGGTCTATTAAACGGATGCAGTTGTTCAGCATCTGGTAAATAAAGTTTGACAGTAATTCTGCTCTCAAGAGAGTCCAGCTGAGTTTAAATCGCTCTCTGGACCTGTTGCTACGGTTATTAGTCAGGTAGATTTAGTTGTAGAAAGTCTGGCGATTGGTGAAGATTAAATTTTGAAAAAGTTGTCACACTCATAGAAACTTTTTTCCACAGGGCCTGGATGATATCAAAGATGCAGTGTCACCAAGCTCAAAATATAGAATTATTTATGTGACCTTTTCTGGGTGTCACTTATGTTAGATGAATCATCTGTGGCTTCAATAGCTAATATTTCAATGATTTGAAACATTGGCTAATATTCTAATTACGACCAATACAAAACACAGCAATTATGTACCTCAGTGCATAAATTTTTTTATAGAATAAGATAGCACCAAACAGAAGTTGTGAGGTTTTTAAAATACAGAAATGGAAACATGTTTAAGATTATTGCATTACAGGAGCCGTTGAACTTCCATTGCATCACAGTCTTGAAGATGATGGTACAAGCAGCACCAATAATTCCTGTGTATATAATTCCTGTTGAAGACTTTAGCTGTTAAACCCCCCAGAGCTCCACTAAAGCTCAGCCGCAACGAGATTTAAAGAATATAAGCCGTGCTGGCACTAAACTCTAAAAGTTCAATAAGAATCTCAGTTAAAATATGTTGTATACTGCTGCAAGTTTCCATTTTAAATGTTTGCTGCATTAGGGGTAGCTGAACTGAAGCCTCCATGTTTTATGTTCGAAGAAACATATCTAGTTCTCTTTTCAGTCAGTCAAAAAATGTTATGGACAAATAATTATAATAAAAATAAAATATACATAATTTTTAATAGGCTGTACAATCTTTACATACAAACAGCCAGCTGTGGCTAACAACTTTGTATTAGGTTTAAAGACTCAGAGATGACAACTAATACAAATAGGAACATAATCTCAGTTTTTTTTTCCTTAAAGGTGACAGCCCCGCTGCTTGGTTCACACTGTTGTTGACTTGCTTTTTGTTTTCTGGGCTGCAGACCTGATTACCAGGTTATCAGCTGCATGGAACACACCTGGGCCCAGTGAGCCCCATGTATATAAGCCAGAGCAGTAGTTGTTTGAACTTCCTCGTCTTAAAGCTTTTGTTGTGGTTTTGCTTATTCTGTTACAAATAAATCACTTTGTTATTGAGTTTACCCGTGTGCCTCCCATTTTTATTGCAGTCCAAGATATGATATGGATTACATTACTTATTGACATAAAAATCTGCACAATATTTAGCTTGTTCAGAAATTCCTAGAGGATGAGTTCCTGAACAGGGGGTGAATCACTTAAACAGACAAAGGAGAGGAAAGCATTTATAATATCATTCACTACTGTGTTTGCTTGTGCATTTGTTTTCCGTTTTACAAAGGGAATCCTTATATAAATATACAGTACATTATTCATGGAGGATTTGGACAAGACGAAAGGAAAATTAATTATAAACACACAAGTGCTCAGTGTTTTCTGGGTGAGGTTAAGTATCTTTTGGTTTCTCACTTGTCCTTCCTTTCTACTTCTTAGTGCAACAAGTTGAAGTGTATTACTTTCCAGTCAAATCTTGAAGAACGAGTTACAATGTGTGTAGAAAGAGGACAGCTTGCTAAGCAGGTCTATTAAATACACTCTCAATAACCACATTATACCCTTTCCCGCCCTTTCAGCTTTTCTACTTGCCCTCCCTTCTCAACATTTTTTGACTGCTTATTCCAGCCATAAGCGGTATGGTTGTAGTGCTTAGTATAGCCATTAGTGGTGACTAGTGACTTCTAGAAAATGGCAGGATAAAATCAACCCCTCTCCTCCTGAAGAGCTGTAAGTCAGAGGAGCACAGGAGCAAGTCCCCAAATTGTACAGAATTTGTTTTGTGAGCAAAAAAGCAAAGCAGCTCGAGCAAAAAATGAGTTTTCTTGTTGAAGTGGCTGTGTACAGGTAGCAAGTGACTCACCGCTCAAAAAAACAAAATTGAGCCAATTTTCCCCAAACTGTCACAGGAGCGCCTCAGTGGATTGCTGCAGGGTAATGATTGTCGACTTTAGCTGTGGTGTTTTTTAAGGACAAAGGTTTGAAAAGACTAGAAGTACACTGCATGCTCATTCCTGTCAAACTGAGTTTATACACACTGTGAGAAACAGGACTTCTCAGCTTACTTAATAAGAATTTTGAATTGAAAGTGTGAGTGAACATGGATGAATTTCAGAACAAGCTAATTCTATTTACCTGCATCTGGAATGTGACTCAGCCAGCTATGTCAGATAAAATCAGCAGCGTTCAGGGACATTTTGAATTGATTTAAGGTCCTTCTCCTTATACACAAATCACTTAATGTGCTAGGACCAAGCTACATTGCTAACTCCCTTGTTTGCTACTTGCCTTCAAAAACACTGCAATCATCTGCTGCTGGTTTATTGGAGGTTCCCAGAAACATTTGAAAGAAAATCAGGGATTCAGCCTTTGTCAATTATGCCACAAAGCTATGGAACTAGCCTACCTATAGATATAGTAAAGATAGTAAAGCCAGCTCGCTAAATATTTTTTTAAAGAAAATGAAA